ATATCATACTCAAGTCCCTGCTGTTAGGGTCTTATTTCCAGTGCTTGTGTTTCCAGTGCAATCCTGACTTGAGCATTGAATAGAGTTCTAGAATACGACCTTTATTATTATTAGGGTCGTATTTGCCATGCTCAAGTCAGGACTTGAGTATGATTCAAAGCATTAAAAATCATACTCAAGTCCTTGCCATTAGGGTCGTGTTTCCAGTGCTTGAAATCATACTCAAGTCTGCTCAAATCCTGACTTGAGCATTGAGTAGAGTTCTGGAATACGACCTTTCGAGTCCGATCCCGCGCGGTACTGAAGAACTTCTCAAAAACCCTGAAACTTACTATCATATTTATTTATTCTACTATAGAAGATCTTTAGAATGGATTTGTATTTAATCAGAATTGATAAAATATTCTGAATTGACGATCATTGGACTTAACATATTTATCGTCGGAATTGAAACTTACCCGGAATTAGAACTTTATACCCTGACTTAACCCTAATCTGATATGACCCAACGAAGACGAGGCATATTGCCTATAAAATAAATAATGGACTGAAGACTTGGCGTATGCCTATTTTTTTATTGAAATTAAGAAAAAAAATTTACCAAGTCTTGGCTGTATGGTGCGAAACCTTTGCCTTTTCCTTTACGAAAAGAGTTAAAAAAACAACAACATCACTCACAAGTGCTTAAATCTGTGGCTTAAATTCTCTTTGATCACTCACTGCTCCTGTCAATTTTGTGTTGGTGATAATTAATATTTTTCATCAAGTTTCTTTATCTTGAAGTAAAAGATTAAGGAAATAAAACGATCAACATAGAGTGCACTATAATAAAGTCTGTCACAATGGCGGAATACAAGGACAACAGCGAGAATCCCCTTAATATTGATGGAAGTAACTTTAATCCGGACATGTATTTGGAAAGGCTATTAAAATGCGCTAATTTGAAGCAAATAATGGACAAAGAAGCTGAAATAGTCACTCAAAGTCAGTTCTTGCAATCAGAGATGCAAACTTTAGTGTATGAGAACTACAACAAGTTCATATCGGCAACGGAAACGGTGCGAAAAATGCGCTCTGATTTCAAGATTATGCAAGAAGAAATGAATAAACTCAGCGAAAACATGAACAAAATAAATTCATTCAGTGCTCAGATCTCTGAGTCTCTAAAGGAAAGTGGTAATAACGTCAGTAGGTTATGTGGAACAAGGCAATTGTTGGATAAACTACAATTCCTCTTCCTATTGCCTTCTCAACTCAATAAAGCTATAATAGAAGGCAGATATGCAGATGCTGTTCATGATTACACTCATGCACAGAGAGTGTTACAAAAATATGGTAACCAACCTTCATTTCAAAGCATACAGACTGAATGTTCAGAAATAATTTATGGATTAAAGAAAACTTTAAGAGATAGACTTCTTTGCCCTGATACTTCTGCTTCAGAACTAGCTGAGAGTGTTGGCTTATTGAGACAATTACAGGAGACTGATGACTCCCTACAAGACATATTTTTAAGTTGCGCTGAAAGTCGTCTTGATAAACATTTGCAAACACTTAGTGTAATGGTTGAAAAAACAGACATACTAGAATGGGTTGAAAAATGTAACAGCACTCTACTTGCTGACATAGGTATTGTAGTCTCATGTTACCACGAAATGTTTGAAGACAAAGACAGTACAAACTTACCAGACTTTGCTGACAAGATTATGAGTCAAGTCTTCCATTTGTTTGAGGAAGTTATGAAAAAACCAGAGAATATTGGAACAGAAATTTTAATTCGAGGACTTGACAAGTTCTTCAGAAAGCTGCAAGCTATGACTGACATAATATCAAGTGACACAATGTCTAATAGAGCAGTGGATATGGTTATCCAATGCATACATCAAAAGGCTACTGTGCAATATCAGTCCATACAAACTCAATTCAAAGAAAGTCTTATGAGAGTGAGACAGTCCTTGGCCAGCAAAGGTTCAGAGAGTGCTGATCTCAAAGATATTCTCAACTCGTTGCAAGTGTACCTAATGCAAAAAATTCAAGCATCATTATTAGATCTCATGGCATTTCTTCAGAATAACTTATCTTTTGGCTTGAAGTCCTGGTGTGCAAAAGCTGTTGCTGATAGCTGCTGGAAAGTTATCTTTGAGACAATGGTTACTTTATCAGATTTGGTGAAGAACATGGCCTGTCTACAAACATCAAATAACATTCCATTTGAACTGTTGCTGATTCTGGCTAAATTATGTTTGGAGATGCAAGAAAGTGGTGTGACGACAATACATACTCATTTGTTAAAACTATTGGAAGAGGCTGCTCCTGGATTAACTGTAGAAAACAAAGACACCAACACTGTAATGGTACATTTATCTACAGCTGCTCAAGCTGCACTAGACTCTGAAGTTGTTTATATTGGGCAAACAGCTGCACAGATGTTAAGAGTTTCTGTTCTAGCTAGAGACTGGCTTCGGGCCCCTGAGCCTCGGGGTCCTAGGGCAGTGTGCCGTCGGGTTGTGGAGACTCTAGCAAGCGCCGATAGTGCGGCTTCTCAACTATTTCCAACAAGTATGAAACCTTCAAGTGATTCAAGTCGGAGAACAATATGGTCGCGGGCGCCTTCATCATTCTCACCCATTAACAGGATTTTCTCAGAAAGAATTGAAGTATTTAGTCCAGCAGGAGCAGATAGAGCAGCATTGTCTAATGGAGCTTTGAAAGTTGCACTGAAGGCTCTTGTGGAGTGTGTAAGATTGCGGACATTTGGGCGACATGGATTACAACAGCTGCAAGTAGATGTGCATTTCTTGCAACAGCGGTTGTCATGTATGGGGAATGATGAGAGACTTCTCAATGCACTGCTAGAAGATGCCCTTTCCTCCGCACAGCTAAGGTGTGTTGATCCTCAGCTAATGGAGCCCAGTATTGTAGACATCATATGTGAAAGAGGTTAATAATGTGAATTATTACTAAAAAGTTAAAGTCACTGTTTATTTTCTGAATAAGTGTATCAATAAAACAATATAATGTATTTATGACAATTTATTTATAACCCATTAAAATTGCATCATCATCATATTAAAAATAATGATATCATCTACATTATAAAAATTTATTTTAAATGCTTCTAAAACATAAATTTCACAAGACATTCTACAATTTATTGGTGACATCAACTAATTAATATATTATGTAATGTAATTTTAGTTATGAAAGTACAATAAACATTATTTAAAATTAAAAACAAAATATATTATAGGTGTCATCATTAATAAACAGAAAATGATAAAAAATTTGGTCCTAACACTGAAAGGTATCGTCGCCTGCGTGTTCTGCTTTGTAAGCTTACCACGGCGCCGCAGGGTTCACTTAACAGCCCAACTGGTTCTATAATTTTTTGTTAAAAATTTGCTTTAATTGAAATTTAGACATTTTACTTTTAATTCTTACACACTACTATTACCTAATCTATCAGAATAATCTGATCAATATAAGAATTTTTCTTACAAATTTAATGTTAATGAATAATGATTTAATATAAGAAGATCTATGAATTGGGAAGCTCGTAACATATTACAATTCCTTTAAACAAATTATGAATTTCAGAAATCCTATACAAGCTCGTTCCTCGAAAACAAAGGAATAACATACTGATAAAATGGTAACAGCTATGCATCAGCATTAATAAACTGAGAAACGCAAATATATTGAGCATTACTTTCTAGTCTAGATTTCAGAAATAAATTTACAAGATTTTGGTGTGTCGAGTTGGGAAGTATAGTTATATTTCCATAGATATATATATATATCCCAAAAAGTCATGCTCTCAACTAATAATATCTTGCAACAGATTAGCTACAAGTACACAGCAGTTATATCTTGCACTGTGTTAAATCTAACAAAACCTACCATATCTATATTAACATAAATATCATTACTCTTATATTACACTTACTAATCTAAAACAAATTGACAAAATATATACCTATGGTTCTTTTATTACGACCGCTTTACATATAGACAAATTTTGCCCATCAAATGTCACAAAATTCAAAATGATGGTGACTGTTTCCCATAAATTTAAAAATATGCATTCAAATGGTGGTCCAAATGTTTCGTTTTTGATGTCCTCTTTAAATTATTTTCTAGCGATTCACCTATACCGAAACTATCAAATTCTGAATTTATCCAACTGCAACATCAGTACTGTCATCTAGCTTCAGCGTTATCGCCAACAATTTATTTTAACTTACTAGCAATTTTCTTCATTTTCTCGGGCATCGGAACACCTCGATGTGCGGCTATCGACTTTGGTTTGGATGGCGTGCTAGATTTTGTGTCAGACACTTTACCACGACGCGAAGGAGTCTTCGTCTCTTTCACGATGGGTTTCTTGGTTTTGTTGATAGAGCCGCTAACGTCACTGCGGACACTTGATTTTCTAGAATTCATGACTTTAGTCTTATCAGCGGGGCCTGATTTACGCAAAGCAAGCTTGGCTACAGCAGGCTTGATGATCGTAGGAGGGGGCGGAACGGCAGGTGGCGGAGAACGTCGCTTGCGTATCCTCGGCGGCGTGTGCGCCAACGTCGTGTGGCGCGACAGGAGAGCCGCGCTACTGAACAATTGACCACAGTCGCAACGGTGCTCTACTTCCGCAGTGCCTATATAATTTTAAACACATTTTATAGATTTTAAGTTTTAGAGGAAAACCAATCTGAACTGCAAAACTTGAATACTTCAGAAATATACATTATTATTGATATACTGTACTAAAATACATCGTCCTCTGACCAGTAGGCAAGAGAATAATCAAAAGTAAATAATCAATATAAAATTCAATGGTTCATCGAGTTAATTATGCCAATGTAACACATAGGTAATTAAGTGTTGGGATATGGTTGGGATCCAATATTTCTTCGGATAAAAAAATTAATACTATGAAAAATCAAAGTTTCAAATTAATTATATTGATTGTTTCTATTCTTTGTTCCACTTTTTTCCACTGTATACTGAAAAATAAGGTTGGTTTCCATTTGATGACTTTACTATCTTAGTTAGCTGTGACCATGAATGTGATTTACAAACACCCCAGAACATTGGTTAGTTTGAATAAACACATACACGCGGTTTAGATCCGGAAAACATATTTTTGTTTTGAAAATTAAAAAACTTACGTTTTCTGATTTGCTTTACAGGTGAATCCTTGTTCTTAGCCATGGGCGTTTGTCCCATGGACTTCTTTTTGGCAACGACGATAAGTGATTTCCTCTTTTGTGCTAGCAACTTTCGTTTTTCCTTTGGCGTCTTTTCGATCTGTAAAAATATAAGCACTCGTAATAAATATCATTATTTAAAGAGATATATGATGATTTTCATCTATTAGTAAATTGTATTTACCTCCTGTTTTGGTTTAGCCGTAGGTTTTAGCTTGGAGCTTGTTTTAGGAAAAGAGTATTTTACGTCACCGTCATCCGAATCAGTAGAAGAAGCTGGTTCTGATTTAAAAGTTTTAGAAATGATTTTAGCAGGAGCTGTGTTTACAGGAGCAGTTTTAGTTTCCAAAGACTTTGGCTTCAAGCGAGCTATCTTGTGAGGATGTTGTAATGATGTCCTCCTTTTGACTTTATTTATTTCCCTATCTTTAGAGTTAGGCCTTTCTATCTGGAGAGAACTGCGTTTTTTAGCTCTAACTTTCATAAATTTTTCTTCCTTGTCCTCCAGCTTAAAGGCAGGATTTAACATGTATCGAATTTCCTCTTCGTCGCTCGATTCAACCACAGATGACTTTACGTTTGCTGCAGTTAATGCTGGAGACGTCAATTTTTGGTGTTTAGTCACCAGAGACATATCTTTATCTTTGATTTTATTATCGGGTGTTACTTCCTTAGGAGTATTTTCTGATTCCAATTTTTCTTTTTCGTCTACTTTTATTATCTTTGCAGGTATCTCAAGTGTTGCTTCCTTAACATTAGATTTTTCTGGTGGTTCAAGGTCTATTTTAGCAGGTTGCATTTTTATTTCAACAGGATTTATGTTGTTTATTGATTGACTGTTTTCACATATCTTTGGATGCTCTGCGATTTCAACAGATACGAGTTCCTGTTTGTTGTTTTCTGTTTTATCTTCAAGAATAGGGTTCATGTTAATAGGTTCAATTACTTCAATTTGTTTATTTTCTTCAGAATTATGAGCTTCTTCTAATTGTTCATTTGCTTCATTTTCTTCAACTGATTTGTTCTGCTTAGTAGCAGATTGTCTTTTTTTCCTTTGACATATTATAGTGTGCTTGTTCAGTGAATGCTCATTAGGAAACACCATATAACAGAGGGAGCATTCATGAATAATATCTTTTGTGGACAAACTACTTTTAACACTTTTGTCGTCTGATTTTTCAGAATTTGTTTCAATGTGTTGTTCTTTATGTTCAATTAAGTGATGCAATTTTCGGAATGTTTTCTTACATATATCACATTGAGGTGGTGGTGGTGGAACAGGCACGGCTTTATCTGCAGTAGGTTGACTCACAGAGCTCTTTTGTCTATTGATACCATCATGTGTTTCCCGGTGTTCAACAAGGTGATGTAATTTTCTGAATGACTTATCACATGGCTCGCATCGAAACGCGGCAGTCTGATCATCCGTCTGTTTGGATTCTTGCTCTCTTAATTTTTTATTATCAATTTGTTCGAAGGAGCTTTTCCTGGATGTCCGGTGGGGTATATTGTTCAGATTATGAATTAATCGATGTTGAACTAAGTGATGTAATTTTCTAAACTCTTTCTTACAAACTTCACAGCTGAAAACTTTCTTATCACGACTTTTGGTATCCTCGTCGGGTTTTTTTACTTCTTCTTTCTTGTGTTGTTGCTTATGGCTCACCAAATGCGATAGCTGCCTAAAAGCTTTACCGCAAAATTCACAAGTCAGATTAGAAGCATTATGTAATATTTTAGCCGCTTTTCTGGCCTCATGTTTCTTTGATAGATCGCGTTTCACAGGTTTTTCTTTTAGCGGCGTATCTTCTATTACTATGACGTCATCTAGGTCTGTACTGGCGCCAGAACTAGAATCTTTGGATCTGCGCTTATTTTTCTTTAATGGGATCTCTTCCTCAAAATCTGTATCATCAAATTTGCTTTCCCTAGATTTAGACTCGGAATCAATCGACAATCTTGACCTTCTGGGACTCCTCTTATCTGAACTGGACCTGTTAGGTGACGGTCCTGAACAATGTTTAACATGTTTAAAGACAACGTTTTCAGAACGGAATAATTTATTGCATATAGGGCATACAATATTTTCGTTTATTTTTCCCATTGTCCAATTTTCTTTTACAATTTCATCATCAGTAGTGTCATCCTCTTCTTCTGTAGTTGAACGACGTTTACAACGCACAGCATCAATTAAGCGTGGTTTTTTTTGAGGGCTTGGAACTTTGACTTTGTCTACTACTGGGACACCTTCAGGCAGCGGATACTTCCTTGGACGGCCACGTCCTCTCTTGACAGGAGTATTATGTTGAGGGCTGTCAGTGGTGGTCATTTGAATGGACTCTTTAATCGTTGTAGAGCTTAATTTTTCTGATTGAGTTTCTATTAGTTCTGCCGCTAAAACTAAGTTGTCAATGGCCGAGGTAGTGTTTTTATGAATCACAACAGCGCTGGCTTGCACAACAGTTTCATTCAGGGTATTATTAGTCGAATCTTTATGTAATGCATCTTCAAGCAGAGCATTACGGCCGAGTAAATAAGACTTTTTAGGCACAACTGTCTTAGGGCTTTTTTCTATTCTCATATCCTCAATTTTTCGCCTCTTTTTCGGCGAAACAGTAATGCCTAAATCACCAGGCTCAATCAATTCTAATTCAGGAGTTTCAACAGGTGTTAAGACTTGTTTCCTTTGGTGCCTAATTTTGCTTTTGGTTTCATCAGGCACTTTTCCATCTAATGCATCAACAGAATCTAACACATCTGAGTCTAATGAATCACAAGTACTGATTGTGACATTATCAGCTTCTTTGCTTGGTTTTTTTGATGGTGATAGTTCTTGGCCTTGAACATTAAGTCGAGCAGGAGTAAATTCGGCAGCTGTATCCATGAAGACGACTTTTACCGGTTTATCCTCAATGATAGTTATAGGAGATTCCATCTGTCGTTTTGTAGTTAAGGCAGTTTGATAAGCTAGCTGTAACTTCGAAGGAAAGTTTTTATTGAATGTGTCATCTGCAACTGGGACTAATTTCGATGTTATTTGAATTTTACTGGGATGAGTATATGGTTGGGAAGACTTCTGCTTCTGATATGATTTAACTTTTGCCTCAGCAAGCAACAACTCATTTCTTGAGTATTTCTTATGATGTACATCCTTTTCTACCACAGTTTGAACTACATTGGGCTGGTCTTTATGTTCAAAATTAACTGTTAGGCAGTTTTCGTATGTCTTCGAGTTCCTTCTAGCAAATTTATCGAAATCTTTTTCAGTTATGATGGATTCCTTTTTAGTGTCTTCAGTAGCAGATTTAGTGCTTGAAGTTTCGTTTATCTTAGAAGGAAGCTTAGAAACATTTTTGCTATTTTTATCAATATCTCCAGTGACAGGCTCGTGTTCAATTATCTCTTCCTCAGAGTCAACCTCTATAATGTTATCTTTCATTATTTTGTGCTGAGTCTTACCTGTAAAAGGTAATAGATTAGGAATTTTGTTAGCTTTTGACGTAATTGTCTTCTGACTGTCGGATCTAGCGTAAGTTTTAACTTTATCGTGATTATAATGTTTGGGAAGCTCGTGTGCAGGTCTTTCTACGAAAGGAATGCCATGTAATTCATTCATCTTCTTTTCTATAGCATCCAGACAAGTTACTGAATTGTTTTGAGTTGATATTTTTAAAGTATGTGACATAGGAGTTTCTGTTTGAGTTTTAAATGGTTGTCGAGGTAAATTAAGTTTTGCTTCATGAGAAGGTTTAGCAGAGACAGCTCTATTAATTATACCTTCGATAGTCCTGTCTATTAAGTCTTGATTGTTTATTTCTTTTCTCTGTAATAGTTCTTTCTTTGGCAATTCAGTATTAGCTATAGTCGGGATTGACAATTTGGTTTGAGGATTTAGAGGTTCTTGTTTGGCAGGCTTTTCATTAGTAACCAACTTGATTTGTAATACAGGTGCTTCTGCTTTAACAGGCATTTTACTGTCACATGGTGTCATCTGTTTACTAACAAAACTCTTCATTTCAGCTTTGACACTAGATTGAGAGATTGAGTGGAGAGACGACTTAGGCAGTTCTTGAGCTTTAGCTGCAGCGGTATTAGACTGTCTTTGACTATCAATTTTTTGTAAGACATCCCGCCTATTTAAATCATTTGTCTTTTTTATCTGCTTGGTATTGCTGCAACTGGTGGTAGGCATTTTTGTTTCTTTTATTTTGTTCAGAAATTCTTGCCTATTTGCTGGAGTCCACTTTCCAAAGGGAACAGCTGTATGATTGTTGTTGATGGGTATTTGGGCTTTGTTCTTCACATCAGGTTTGTTTTGGGAAAATGTCTGATTACAAACTGTAAGATTATCATGTTTCACTTCAATCTTCTGTGTTAGGCTGTCACTATTACTCATTACACTTCTGTTTTGGCTACTGGTAGTTCTCTTAAGCATCTCTGTTTTCGTATTCATTGTCGCTCCCAAAGTAGGTCTCTTGGCAAAATCAAGATCTTTTGTTTCATTTAGTTTGTTCAGTTGATTTTGGGTTATAGCAGGTTTACCTTGTACAGTTTTGGTTTCAACAACGGTAACTTGAGGTTTGACTGCCTTTTTCTGTCCTATATTAGACAGTATGGGTTCTTCTATTTTCTTTACCACTACAGGAATAGATGTTCTATATTCTAAATTCTTAGTTTGCTCAGAACATGTTACTAACTTAGTATTCAGGTCCTCATTTGCAGACATACTTGTGTCGAGAAAAATATTTTGTAGTTCTCCACAACTTTCAATTTTTTCTGCTTGTTTTTCAGTCTCTTTTGCAAGATAATCCAGATGTACGTCAATAATTTTTGTTTCTTTATTTTTGGAAGTACTTTCCTTATTGACTATATTTTTAACATTACAGACTCGATTGTCGTTAAGCTTTTGTGCTGTTTGCATATTAACAGATTCTTGTACAAGTTGTGCTGCAGCAGGATATTTATTTATTTTCCTTGTAGATGATTCTATTGAATCTTTATTGTCAGTTTGCCAAGACTGTGATGACAGGTTTCCTAAAATGTTTTTACTATCAAGTTCTTGGGATTGCGATGTTTCTTTTGAAGTCTTTGCATTCAATGTGCTAGATACAACTTCAGATTTATTTACATTTCCTATTTTCTTAGTATCTTGAATTAATGTTTTCACTTCAAATTGAGTTATTTCCTTTAATGGTTGTTGCATTTTGTCCTTCGTTTTGTTAATACTTTCCTTTGCATTTACATCCAAAAGCATTGATTTATTATCAACATTTTCTTCAATTCTTAAATGTTTTATACCTGATTCTTGGCTAGTTCTTGGTTCTGTAATTTCTTTTGAATCTTTAGGTACTGTCAATGTAATGTCTGAAAATAATTGATGTTTTTCCTTTCCTTCATTTATTTCAAATTCTGGTTGTTTTATTATTCCTGTTTTAGATTGTGGGCTGCCAACCACGGAATCTTGTTTTTGTAGAGATCTAGTAGTAGCTTTCAGTTTACTGAACACATTGCTATCATATTGGTCCTCTTTTTGTGGAGATTCAGCAAAATACACTTCTGCGGACACACTACTACCTTGTCCATTACCAGTTTCTTCACATTTGTTTGATTCCTTTTCAATTCTTACCAGTTCTAATTCGTCTTTCTTTTTTTCTTCCTTCTTCACTTCTTGATTTGGATGCATTTCAGTCTGTTTAGTGCCATCTAATTTTTTAATGCATTCCCCTGATTCTTTAATACTATCCTTATTTTCATCATCTTTGTTTTTCGGTTGAACATCAACTATTCTTTGTTTGACACTGTCTGTGTGCACCTCAATAGTTTTTACATTATCTGAATGTCTACTTGGATGCAGTTGTTGGTCAACCATCGTTTTTGTGAGTGGTATGCCTTCCTTATTGGGAGTTGAATGTATAACAGGAGATTTCCTTGTCTCATTAAGTTTGACCATTTTTCCGTTAATGTTAACATCAGGCTTTTCAGGTGGTACATCTTTACTACATTCAGCAATACTTTCTCTTTTGGATGACTCAGAGGCTATATCCTTTCGAGGTGTAACTTTCTTTTCAGCAACTTGGTTAGAAGATGAATCATTACTAACTTCATTTATGTCCTTAATAGGAACATGGTAGTCGTTTTTCTCAGGCTTTTCCTCTTTTACAGGCTGAAAAATAACATGAAATATTTTTGAGTCCTCTTGAATAAATATTTCACTAGCAATGTTAAAAACATGAACCTAAGCTTACCACTTCTACTTCAATTTCTTCATAAACTTCTAAATTTCCTTCAGCATTCTCGCTGCAACAAATATAAATTATTTTAAACATTATGTAAAACAACATTAATTTGTAAAAGGGAGAAACTCGATAACATAATTATAACTATATAATATATTAATGCTTACCGTACTTTGAGAAACTTAAAGCTGGGCTGTTGCTGATCATCATCAATAATAATCTGCACAGCTGCCAATTCTTCCTCTCCTTGCTTCCTATACAAATATAGGCCATTGCCAATATCTATTGCATTTACATTTTTACCATCTATTTGTAGCACCACCTCTTCTGTATCCTTACTCACTATAGTTGGCTCAGCTTCACCCATTGCTGGTTCTGATATTTCTTCACCCATTGCTGGCTCTGCTATTTCTTCCATTGCTGGTTCTGATACTTCCCCTATTGTCGGTTCCGGTATTTCATCACCCATTGGAGGCTCTAATACTTCTTCCTCTATTATTGGTTCTGATATTTCTTCACCTATATCTGGCTGTAACATTTCTTCACCCATAGCTGGTTCTGATACTTCTTCACTCATTACAGGGTTCGATATTTCTTCACATATTGCTGGTTGCAATATTTCTTCTCCCATAGGTGGTTCTGATAATTCTTCACCCATTACTGGCTCAGATATTTCTTCACCCAGTCCTGGTCCCGATACGTCTTCACCTATAGTTGGTTGTGATATTTTGTCACCTGTAGTTTGTTCTGATATTTCGTCACCCATAGCAGGCTGTGATATTTCTGCACCAATTGATGGCTGTAATATTTCTTCACCTATTGTAGGCTCTGATGTTCCTTCAGCTTTTCGAAATGACACGCTTTCACCCTCTGATGATTTCAACTCAGAATTAGACTTATCATCAATATCCACAACATTGTCATCAATTACAAGCTCATTCCCATCATAAGAGTTGTCATTATCATCAAATATGTCCACTCCACCTGATAGGATGTTCGCCGCCTCAATCTGTTTATCAAATTTGTAACTATCTAATAAGTCATTTTTCTTAGTATTGGGAGTTAAGGTGGAAATCAATTGGTCCGTTCCGGTTATAGCCTTTCTAGGATCCGCGGTGGACGCCAAAGATATATCTTTAATGGGAGTGATGTCAAATGACGAGTCTTCAGACAATGAAAAGTACTTGGAGCTCTCATTGGCGGTCATGTATGCCTCGCTCGTCGCGGCAGAGGTGTCCAGCGTGGAGTCCCGAGAGCCCCCCGCCTCTCCCCGCAACTGATTCAATCTATCCATTTTCACACTTCATCTGCCATGACAATAGAAAATTTATCAATTTTATATCACTAATAATAAAGAAAATTAACAAAAATTACACTAAATAAAAGCGAAAACCTATTGAAAACGTCAAAGTTAGATCAAACAATTAGCGCCTAGGTCAATAGCAATGAATTACAGGGATTTTTTTTTAGTAGAACAAACGATAATGAAACTGTGACACTTTTGATAAAAACCACATAGAATGGATCGTACCAAGTTAATATTTATGAAATAACCTGAAGATGAATTTGAAAACGTTATTTCCAAGCAAAAAATACTTGAAATTTGTGTTCTCCTACTATTTTTGTTACAATTTTAGAAAACAACACAACAGTAACACATCAAAGATTAAAGATGGACGCCAAATTGCAGTGCTGCCATATAATCATTTAAATTTTTTACTACGCTTTTAATTATTTATTCGCATTTTTCTCTCTTTCGTTCGTATTATTATTTCATATCCTTATCACATTCATAATTTCAGTGTTACCAAGTACAGGTACATTTTACTTACTAAATTAACAAATGTATGACATATAGGTGGTGTAATTTAAATAACGATGCATATAAAATGGTTTTTTTTTCTTATTTCTCTTGGCTTTTCGCGGTGAGTGATTTAGCCACTTACAAAGGTGTTTTGACTAACTTGTTTTTAAAACGGGGAATCTTTTATGTCATGGAATGTAATTTGGAAACGTGATTAAAAGTTGGAGCGAGGAATTATGAGATGTAAATAAACATGGTATAAATATAGAATAAATATTATATTATTATTACAGCAGTTAAATTTTTATATTGTTAAATTTAGATAAATAAGTATTTACAGAGTTATTCGACAACAACAAAAGATGGTTGGAAGTCGAAAGAGGCGTATGGGATTTGTTAAGAGAAAAACGATCAAATTTTGGGCAATTTAAAAAATGTTATTTCAATCGCCAAATTCACCGCAGCCACACACATCATCAACAACTATATTGAATCTCGCAAGGTGAACGGGAGTACATACGTGACCTAATCTCATACGAGTCAAAATGCTTGTTGCCACTCTGTTCAGTTTTAGTTTAAAGAACGACGCTTTCACTGGTATTGATGGTTGGACGTTGCTATAAAATCTACCTTTGAACTGAGAGCTCTCCGTACATGCGACTTTTTTTTTAAATGCATTGCTCTAAATCGGCCCATTCACTACCTGCATAGCAGTCCGCTGCGCAGGCAGGAAACTGCTCACACACTATCCTGCGCATGGCCCATGTACGAAGTCTCGCAAGATTGCAAGGCGGCTTGCACGCTGCGTTACGCGACAGACGGCAAGGCGGTCTGCAATATAATGAAGACATACCCTAGATACTACGGATTTAGTTAATACACTATTAGCGCCTAAAAATCTTATTTTTTTCCATCCCATAAGCTAATAAAAATACTTTCTTATTTTCAGTAGGTATTTTAATAAAAATATTTTCACAAAATTATTTTTTAAATCACAGACTTATTGGACGTAAACACAGACTAGATTTTTTTATTTTTTTTATTTATTAAGGCTTTGGCAAAGCCATCAGCAACTCAAAACGTATTATAAATATTTTAAAAGTCAAGCTAAAAACTGTACAACAACAAAAGCCCGCCGTTTTTTTCATTTCATTAAAGTTTTGACGCGGAACGCATTTTGATTGTATTGCATTTCAAAATATTATTATATATTATTTATTACATAAAACCTTAGACTAAGGCATATTATGTCGACAAAATTCAACGCGTACTACGTAACGGTGTCGTACGCTAGAGTAAAGTAGTCTCGTGCTCGTTTGTGTCGTACTCGTAGGTATTCGTTATTTCAAAAAGTTGAAATAGTACGTTTATTAACTTTATGTTTGTTTATGGTATTCTGCCTGTGATATAATTTATACTGAAAGGTTGTCTTGGTTTTTATTTTGCACACTTCTATTTCTTGTAAGCTTGTAACTTTCCAGTTATAAACAGATATACAATAGATTTCTATTTATAAAAAGGAAAGAACAATGGCTCCTCGAGATCAACCAAAACCTGCGCCTAAGCTTCAGCGAAATATTATAAAAACAAGCGCTACAAAAAGGACGTCGTCAGTTTCAAACACAACTTCCAGTATTAAAAAGACCATTACGACCAGAAAGACGTCAGAAAAAACTCCTTTGAAAGGTATTTAGTTTCAAATTATTATCTGAATTGAAAATTTGATACGATGAGATAGGTCATTTTAAGCAGTTACATAATTAATGTCTGTGTTTGTTTACAGTAATCAACATGACGACAGACTCAAGACAGAGGACCAATACAGTCCCGAAAGTTGCTACTCCAAAGCCCAAAGAGAATAAAACAGCCACAGTGCCTGAAAGTGTTACAAAAAGTGGCAAAAAACTGTGGAAACGGCGCCCCAAACCAGCACATTCTGGGGTACCTGTACCAGAGAAAATGAAAAGGTTGGAGAAGTTGTTAAAAGAGGTCGATTGTAGTTTTTGAACTAGAACCACATTCTATTACACTGACTTGTTTGTTTAGCTTAACATTGAATACCATGTTTACAATCTATTTTTGTATGATTAGCGCAAATCTAAATAGGAAGATTATGTTTATCATAAGCTTCAAGTATTACACAAGAAAAAACAAAAGTAAGTAATAATTGTTTTTACTTACAATTAGATTAGTTGACCTTAAAAATGTATAATGCCAGTATTTAAGAGATATATATCTACTCTATGCATTGACTTACAAATAAATGGACGACGGGTCTAATACAAAAAACCACGAAAAAAATGTCCCAAGTCAACCTATTCGAAATTTAAATTGTAATGTCATCGCAGTATCGCGCTGTCAGTCAAACAAATGAAGACTAAAGTGGAGTTTGGCGCTCTGTATATGATTTTAGCGCCTTACAAGTGCGGACACTTTTTAGCGCGGACCCGACGTCCATATAATTGTAAGTCAATGACTCTATGGGTCATATTCCAGAACTATACTCCATGCTCAAGTCAGGACTTTAGCAGACTTGAGTATGATTTCAAGCTCTGGAAATACGACCCTAATGGCAAGGGCTTAAGTATGATTTTCAGTGCTCACTCCAATACTCAAGTCCTGACTTGAGTATTGAGTAGAGTTCTAGAATACGACCCTATGTGTATTACTTTCTTGAAGGTCAGATAAATAACTATACTTTGCCTATTTTGATCTGTGATAATTAGTGTTGCATTACTTCTATTCAAATTTACTTTTTTAGGTTATTTTGAATACTCACTATTTTTTAAATTAATGTTGTGCATTGGATTTATCTTAAGATGATGACTTATGATGATTAATTTTGATATTGGTGCCATATTAGGTTAACCACCAAAAAATTCTGTTGTAAGCAACGATATTTATGTACTAGCATACTACATGCGGCCTTCTATACACATTCTGTGTTTCACTGATGTGCAGTAAAGATGCACATTGTTTAGCAGGTTGTCAAACAGATACGGATGGTGGATGCTAATGCGGCAATCTTTGAAAAATGGTTTTTTATTAATTGTGCATTACAATATTTGATAATTGCGAAATAGTGTACAAAATATCACACTATCCATCCTGTTTTGCAAGCATGTAATGGCGCGTGCTAAAACAAGACATAACATAAATCATAGATTATTAAACAACAGAGTGTTGTGGTCTGACTACACAATAACAGAGTATGTATAATATGATTATAAAAGTACTAAGGTCACCATCTAAATTTACTGGTATCTCAACAGTATCTGTGTACTTGAGTAGGCTGCATGGTCTAAAGATATTTGCCTTTTTGCAAGGAAAAGTACATAACATCAACAATTTGGACAACTCGACTGCATTTTTTTCTTCTTTTACTCAATTTGTTTTTCTTTTTAGTAATATAAAATAATTATATATAGTAAGCAAAAGACCCCTGGGACAAAGCATAATGAAATGTTTTGTGCAACTAATAGTGATTTTGCCAGGGGCTTTCTGTTACTTCCCCAACTGTGGATGAATATCATTGGTAAACACTCAATATTATCTGTCTGTCTAGCTCATTCCCAATAGGCATATACTGTCATATCTGTCCATGGTACTATGATACTGATAACTCTTTTTGGAACTGTTTGGAAAATGTAGTTGCTGTGAATGTTCTTGTCTAAAGATTGAAGTTGCTGGTTGTAAGCAACCTTTTAATTTGTTACCTACCAGTATAGAAACAGTAATATTGACAGCTGACAAATGCATTGGTGGAAATCAAACTTTATTGTGTGCTTAGTATGTGTTGTAACAGTACATTTTTGTACTCAATACCACCTTCATGTTTACTATAATATAAGCATGTATTTCAATGTTTAATCATGTTAAAAATGACTAATCTCTCCAGTTATAAACTGGGGCCTTTGACTTAATAGAATAATTTACATATTTTATATTATAAAATGTTGACATAATACATATCAGTAATGCGGATGACATGATGCTGTTGACTCCTGCGATCGTGCACATGGTAAGCTGCTCAGGATATGTGGAAGCCCATGGACTCAGGTATAACACGAAAAAGACCAAGCTCGCAAGTTTTTAAGCCGAAGGCAGGTTCTGTTCGAACTGTGCTGCTGGTTTTTCTCTATGGTAGTGAGATAAGTTGTATCTCTCAATCTAAATACCTGGGTCACTGGGTAACTGATAACTTGTATGATGGTGCGGACATGGAGAGGGAGAGAAGGGCCCTGTCTGTTAGATGTAATATGCTCACCTGCTGGTTTGCTCATTGCACTAAACATGTAAAGATCTCATTATTTAAAGCATATTGCCAAAAATTACATGAGCAACCTATGGGTGAAGTGTACGCAGAGAACCCTAAACACATTGAGTGAGTAATATAAAACAACGTTTTCAGGATGCTAATGGGGATGCCACGACTCTGTAGTGCATCCGACGTGTTCACGGAGGCGCACACAATATGGCCTTCATGCCATTATTCGCAAGAGGGCTGCCTCACTCATGATGTGTGTGCGCGGCAGCACTAATAGCATCCTAGCCGTTGTTGCCAACAGGCTGGATTACCCCTACCAACAACATTGGGTGCAACTACACGTGCGTTGGGTAGTGATCTAGATGTGGCATTTCTCTGGCATTAAGTAATTTAGTGTTCTACTAACCATAGCATGTAAGAAAAATTGACTGTATTACTAACATTACTATGGATCATGGTATGTAATAAATAATTCTGATTTATTCTATAATACAGGACAATTTTTGAAATAGTTTAGTATTAATTTTAATAGTAAGCTTTGAGACTATGTTTTAGTTTTAAGAAATGTGCCAGTGGCTTACACATTTTGGAATAAATATTTAGGTATGCTGGACATTACACAATTTCTTTTTATGATTACTCAAAAGTATGTCAAGCTTAATGCTTACTCAACTTTATGCAATTTGTGATAAGAATGGCCCAACGCCCAAAGTTAAGCTTGACATGCTCTTCATTGTACCTATTTCAGTGAACTCTTCTCCCCATTTGAAAAAGTATTGGTCATTCGTAGGTCTTCTATGGACTTCATTCCAATGAATGATCTATCTATTATTAGCATAATCTACAATTAGATTTTAATATTGTCGTGGTTGTTCGTGAAGGTTTGCAGCCCTTTACAGACCTTCTAGTCGAC